CTGACCGTCGTGCGCTACCTCCACGAGAACTTTGGCCAGCACTGCAGCTTGCGATCCCTCGTGGCTGCCTCTTGGGATCGCCACGTCGATACCATGACGTACGTGCTCTCGCATCGCTGCTGGCAAGACGAGCCATCTACGGACTCCGACGAGCGGTTCGAGGAGACGATGCACAGTCTGTTCTTGGCCGCGGCGCGCATCGGCAGCCTTACCATCTTGCAACTCGTTTGCGACGCGCTCCAACTACAAGAGCCGACAACCCGACTGACGCAGCTGCCACGCCTCGTCTCGGAGCGCATGATGAACGACGCAGCGTCCCATGGTCACCTCGATATGCTGCGGCATTTGCACGACGTCTATGGCTTTGCGTGCACCGATAATGTCCGACAAGTAGCGAGATGCAACGGCCGCAAGAAGGTTCTACGCTACTTGAGCTCCGTCAAGTGCGAGGTCGGCGTCTCGTATTTGTGACACGAGAATAGAATTCATCTCTTTCTGCTGTCTTGCGCGTCGAGTTGTGGTACATGTGACCAAGTGGCGTTGCAATTGCGTGGGCATTTGGAGGAGTCAATACGTTCGAGGCCGAGAGGGCTAAATGCTGGAACGAGGTGCTGGCGGTTAACCGTAGTCGAGCTCGCGCTCGGCATGACAAAGTCAATCCAGCGTCTGAGCCCTCAAGCCAAAGCCCATGCCAGGCGGCCTTGGTCCGGCAAGCCATCGTCGACCTTACCGACGACGACAGCATGTGACGAGGCTGCATGTGCTAGAAGTCCCAGCTCAACGCGAACCAACGCCCAGCGCCCGAATAGGTCCGCACGCGACTGTCCCGTTTATAACCTCGTGCGATCGAATAGGTGAGCGCGCGGCCCACTTCGCGCGCTCTCCGCTCGAAAAACCGGCCGGACGAGACTCGTCCTCCGCCACCAGCGGGTGGACCGTCCGGTCCCGGTCGCCCGTCCAGGCTCAACGCAGCCCAACGCGGCTGAAACGAGAGCTGTTACGTCCCAACATCTCGATAGTTCTTCCCCACCCCTCATCATGTGTCTATAAAAGGTCTCGCTACGAGATGATCCGCGAGCCCAAGCGCCGACGCGTCGAGGTAGGCTGTCCAATGTGGTTTGTTGGTACATTTGTATGTGCTGCATGACGGCCGTCCAAGCGTCTCGATGCATTCCGTCTTCTGAACATGTCATGACGCGTGTGCGATATCCCCACCTGCCGCCACCCAAAAATAAAGACCAACTCGACGGCAAAAGTTGCTGATGATGGGGTTGCGGCAGTTGGAGCAAGGGTACATATCGTTTATCATGTACCCTTGAGTTGCAGCTCGTGTGCAACTTACTTTGTCCAAGAGCCGATACAGAGTTTATACACCTTGCTTTCTCAACCCGTCTCTGACAGGAAATAATTCTGGATGGACCTTCATTCATGCGCCACAGTGGCACCTCCTGCATCTACTGTTTGCCACATTGTCAGAGGCCCATTCTTTGAAACTG